ATGTATAACTGATCATCAAAGTGACTGATGTTTTTTGTTGTTGTTTGAGTTTTATATCAGAAAGTTCTTAAAGATTTACAACAATTTTACAAAATGCAGAAATTATTTTTTAAAATGTTGTAATAATTTAAGGTGGCATCTTTGCAATGTTTTTGTCTGTCGTAGTGGTTTTCAAATGTGTTTTAAACAGCTATATGTTGTATGAATAGAACATTTATTAATTTTACAGGGGAAAAGATTATGTCAACCAAGATTTTATGTTTAACACGTGGTGTAAGCAATTAGCTGCTATTTTTAATTTTCATTTATTCATTATCAGATGCCCACAAARTTACTACAAAAATAGAACTAAAGAGTTTAACATTATAAAGCTGCCCTATTCTCAGGTTTGGTTTAACGCCTGTGAGTGTTTTTTTTTTTGTGAGCATCGTTTGGGTTTCACAGAGTTCGATGTTTACTCTCAGCATATGGGGAGTTCAACGGGCAGGTCAACTCCTGTCACTCTGCCTCCTGAGCTGTAAACGTTATACCATGTGGCYAGACTTTCTTCTTCACCGTTTTTGTCTAAGTGAGGTCTGTGCAGACTCTCAACACCCACAGTTTTCTAGTAGAACTCTGAAGTGGTGCTCTATTTCAGGAAATTTTGTTTCATTTTAGTCTTCTGGTTGATTTAAAATTCTAATTTCTTTACTTGTGATTTACTCAGTTCTGGCAAAAGAGTCATGATTTTTGTGCAATGTGAACAGCAGTCACTCCTTACCCGTATGATATTAGGATGTGATGCAACAAAATCTGTCTGATGCTGCTCATTAGGTCGTATGCATCGATTGATCTCAATACGCAGGGGAAATAAATCAGAACAGAAGCTAACTGTAACTTGAGGCAATCAGCATCCTAAAAAAAACAACTTAGGTCTTAATTGTTTTGCACCTTATTTGAAATGTTCAGCACCAAGCAAGCCTAATTGAAACAACCTGTGTTTTTTCTGAGAAATGTGCAGCATAAAAACGAAGCCAAAGGAAAGCGCTGAGTGAAAACCATATCCGCTCCTCAGCGTGAATGTGTTTTTTCTGTTGGTTTATGCGTCAGTTACTTGTTCGAACCCCTGCTGAGAGCAAAGATGTTGTAAACAAGGCACCGCGCATGATGCACTGCAGCGGACATCAGCGAATGTGTCCCTTTGAGAATACATTAACAAAACACACAAATACATCCAAATGTCAACACGATGAGGCAGGTGTGAAGCCTGGAAAACTCATAAAACAGCAGTGACCATATGTGAACGTGTTATACACACATACTCAGATGAGCCAGCACAGTATGACCATTCACAGGTGAAGCAAATACAAAAAAARAGCATTGATTATCTGTTTAAAATGCTGTATGTAACGTTGTGGGATGTTCAACCCCATTTCAAATGAAATTGGGATGTTGTGTGAAACATAAATAAAAACAGACTATGATGATTTGCAAATCTCTTTCAACCTACAATCAATTGAATACAATACAAAGACAAGTTATTTAGTGTTTAATTTATCAGGTTAATTGGAAACAGGTGAGTGTCATGATTGGGTATAAAGGGAGCATCCCTGAAAGGCTCAGTTCACAAGCTGGAATGAGGTGAGGTTCAAAAACTAACATTAAACGCCCGTGACCTTTGATTCCTTAGGTGACACTGCATTAAAAAACAACATCATTCTGTAACAGATATTACCACATGAGCTCAGGAACACTTCAGAAAACAACTGCCAGTGAAGAGTTTGTCGCTACATCAATGAGTTAAAACTCAGCGACGCAAAGTGATCAACACCCAGAAACGCAACCGGCTTCTCTGGGCCCGAGCTCATCTGAGATGCAAAGTGGAAAAGTCTGGTGTGACAAGTCCACATTTCGAATTGTTTTTAGAAATCGTGGACTTTGTGTCCTCCGGGCCAAAGAGGAAAAGGACTGTCCAGATTGATACTGTATAAGTGGAGAATTCAAAAGCCAGCATCTCTGATGGAAGTTTATTCGTTTGAGCATTAAATATCTTGTCTTTGTAGTGTATTCAGTTGAAYGTAAGTTGAAAAAGATTTGCAAATCATCGTATTCTGTTTTAATTATGTTTTACACAGTGGTCCAACTTCATTGGAACTGGGGTTGTGTATGTGGGGGAGAAATCTGCTCCAATGATTGCAGGAAGGAGAGGTAGGTTTAAATGCCAGATGAATAGGTCTTCTTATGAAGGCTCATGGGATTCTACCGGTCAGCAGCAGTGAATCTCTCCTGAAATAGATCCAAGGAGGGACGAATCATAAACTCAGACAGGGGGATGTGGAGRACCAAGCCTCGCAAATTGCAGCTTCACACATTGTGCTTGACTGGACTTAAAAGATTTCCTACCAATGCCTCTGTGCCAGATATAGTCATAGGTGAGGCCTTGTGCTTTTGCAGCAGTTAGGCTGCAAACAAGGCACCAGCAGCAAAAAGTCAGCTGTGGTCATAATGTTTCGGCTCATCCGTGTACCGCTCGGTGCATGCCGCTCAAACAGACGTAATCCACACACCGAGCCATTGTCAAAGACAAGCTGAACAGAAGCTACATTTGTCTGATAAGAAAGGTCACTTCTGCCATTTGAAAGCCCGCAGACGACCATCGGCTCCATTTTTAAAGCTTCACAGGAAGGGATAAGGAGCGCAGCCCAAACACCTCAGTCTGACAGTCGTAATTACAGAATAAACCGCACTGCTCTTTTTCCTGTGTGTCATTTGAAATAGTGGATTAAGAGCAGATTTGCAGCCCGGCCATCTGTGTTTTGCACGAAAGTGTGCTTTCTTATCACATCTGAACCATCCACCTCTCACACAGCTCCCAGTTGCTTTTTTTACTCTTCAAACCAGAGAGATTGGTCGGCTTAGGGCCCTGAAACTGGGTCAACTGAGTTTTGCTTAAAAAAAATTAGGAGGAGATGGGGCTGAACACGGTCAGCAAAGCTGCAAGGGCCACACACAGGTGGTGGGGAAAGAGCAGTTGGATGGATGAGAGGAGGGACGAGTAGAAACGTCAGGATGGAACAACGCAGCCCTGTTGCTGGGGGAGATATTTTTGGACAGTACACCAGAGTCACAGCGCCAGACACTCGCTGCCCTATGCTCTCTTTTGGTTGCAGGGGCCAAGGCAGAGGTCAGAGGGCCTGAAGGTCAGACCCAGTGCCTCTTCTGCTGTCAGAAGGGGAGGAGGAAACTGTTCAGGACGCTGTCGTTACAGGTCTAAATAAAACCGGCGCTGCACACATATCTGTGCAGGGCAGCTCTCAGGTCGAGATGGAACAAGAAAGACAGGCCGGGTACACACTCTCATTACAGAGGGGAGTGACAGGTCAGGAGTATCAGCCTCCTCCGGGGCTTCTGCTGTGAAATGTGATATCACTCTGAGGTTAAAGCAGATAGCCCGAGAGTAACAAATATCAGGTGGACAGGAAGTTTTGAAACCATTACAGTTCAGCTGCACTTGAATGTTCTAATTAGTTCTGCATGATTTGGATTCCCTACACAGTCTTGAAAAGTATGGAATTTGCTTTTTGCATTTCCTATGTCTAGAAAAGCTGACAAACAAGAAACAAATCTGAGTACAAAACAGTATTTATATTTGACTCCATGATTTGGGTCATCGAGCATAACAAGCCTYGTTTTCATCATTTGAATCATGTGTTTCGGGGCATTGGATTTTGCTAAGAACTCAAATATGTGCTTGTACAGCATTTTTGCAAATTGTTGGGGTGCAGTCACAGCTTTTTGTGATGTTTCAAGCAATTATTAGTGAAAATTTGTACTCGGACGTGCAAAATTTAATCTTTAGTCTGTTTTGATTTTGCTCTGAAAATTGGTGAATTCCAATTTCTAATGTCAAATTCTGATATTCTTTAAAACAAATGTTTTTATTATTGCACCATCTTTTATATTACATTATTATTATTATTAGTAGTAGTAGTAGTAGTAGTAGTAGTAGTATCATTGCTAGTTAGTGGCAATTTCGTTTTTTCTATCGCTTGTTAACTAGTGTGTGAACGTCTGTACTGATGCTGCTGTGACACCTGAATTTCCTCTCAGCAGGACAATAAAGGCTATTTCTATTGTATCCTATTCTAAAATATGACCCATGAATGACTTAAATTTAAGTCTGCAAAAGTATGAGATTTTGAAATGGAAAATATGTAGAACTTTGTGTTTATCTGTTTAGTTTAGAGGAAGATGCTCAGAGTTGCTCTAAAAATCTAAATAAAATAAGGCAAGTTTATTTACCATTTATAGTAGTTTTTTTCTTTCTTTTTTTATTGTTTTTTTATCTCGTAAATTAACAAGTAACAGAATTTAATGTGTTCCAAATCTGATAATTAAAAAAATAAAAAAATAAAAAAGAATAAACCAAGATGAAATTGTTTAACATTTTATTGCTATTTAAAATTAAAAATCCTGTTCAGTCAAAGACAATGTACTACCTTTAAATTACACAAATAAAATTAGGCAAAACAAACCTTTTGGCATGAAGAAAAGAAAGAAAGAAACCTGTGGTACCTCAATTTGAGCCTTTTTTTTAGCACAGCATTGCTGCTACAATTGTTAGATAGAACTGTTATAAAATGCATATTGTACTTTTTTTAGTAGTACACAGAGCAAAAAAAAAACCTACTAAACATACAACACTTTTCTCGCTATAACATTTAAATGTAAAACTGAGGTTCTGTGGTGGATTATGACATGTAAGCCTAAAATAAAATCCAACGCGATGTGCTAATTATGAACACATCAATGAAATCCCTGGCACTTGTACCTACAGTGCAGTGGGGACAAAGGCTGCAGCTGCATCCTGAACAAGTCACTGTTGTTACAGTACAGTATGTATGGGCTCATTCAGCGTGCTCAACAATCTGAATCACATCCTTGTTGTCCTAAAAACATCAGTGCTCAAGATGACAAACGTGAAAGTAAAGCGTCCTCTTCGCAATGACACCATCATTGAAAAGACCAAAACAAAACTTCAAGTATATTCCAAACGCAGCTCCTCTGTTTAACCACTACAGCTGGATCTAAACAGACTAAAGTCTAAGCATGCAAACTCTACTAATGTGCAGCCGCTTTTGCTTTCCGTGACACACACCGCACAATGCATATTAGGAACTAGTGGGAGCTCTGAGAGGTTTGGCTCTTCTCGCTGGGGCATTTAAACCAGCTTGTGTTCTAGGCAGCAAAAAGGCTTGGCTTACAACACTCACATTCGAAATATTCGGTCCCTTAATTGGGCTGCACTTAAACATCACACGAGTAAAACAAAACAAAAGAAAAGCGTCAGCATTTGAAAGTTAAAACATTTTGAGTTCCCTGGGCAGCAAAAAAACATAAAATAATTACCATAAAGCAATCTGATACGAGTTATCAAATAAATTAAAATCTGAAAACAGGAATAAATTTACTGATACAGCTGGCAAATGTAAGCTTTTTACAAACATATTTAAAACTTCCAATCTGCATTCTTCATCACTGTATTCGTGAAACACCTTACAAAATAAATAAATAAATAAATAAATAAATAAATAACTTTTGCATTGTTTAGTCGTTTTAAATTCTTTCTTTTACAGTACCATGACTTGTAACCGTATGGTAAAATATGAAACAATAAGTGCAATGAGAACAGAGAGGCGACTCCACCCTCTGACGTTGCTGATGCTGATGGGAGGGATGAAGGATTTCAGTGGTGTGCTGGTCTGAGGAGTCATCTAACCTAAACTGAACAACACCCTTCAGTAACCTCAAATCCTCCAGCAGAGATCCTAGTTGATCTTCCACGAGGCAAATGGGCAAGGTTGAGACCCCGTTCAGAGTCCAGTCTGCACTGGGGTTACTAAGATCTAGGTTTGGCTGGGGTGGGAGTCATGGCAGAGGTGACAGGCGGGCGTTGAGGTCAAAAGGCAAGGTTTCAGGAGCCAGGCTTGCCACGGTGGCCTCAGAAGTGGTCCATCCTGGCGGCAAAAAGGCTGCGGGAGCGTGGCGCGGCCGAGGAGAGGCGGCCAAAGCTGGACGAAGGCCACTTCATGATGAACTGGGAGGTCACTGGCAGCAGGTACCTGGACAGACGGACACGAGTGAGGGGATGGAGGGATTAGGGGAAAGGATGAACATAATGAGAGGATTAGTCCTGCAAAGGTCACAATTTAGAGGTCGGGCTGCTTTAGTCTGCACAGAGACAAGCATATAACCCACTTTTCATATATTGACTACCATTTATGGCCTTCTTCATTTGCACAGCTCAATTTTAATAATGACCTGGAGGATGTCATGACAAATTATGATGCCCTTTAGTCTCGAAAAGCACTAAAAAAAACTTATGAGGTTAAATCCATTTGATCAGAAGTATTTTCTGCAGAGCAGGTAACAAGCAATGGCACTACCAGCAAACATGCTTTGTCTTTAAAAACGCCAGTTTTAGTTTGGCACAGAACATGGATTGTATTTTTTGAACATTAATCTTCATGTTTAATGGACCTTTTCATGGATACCGTTTAGCATCACCTAAATTGTTTGGGGGAATTGTTTGGGGGCACATGAAAGAAAAGTCAACGATGGACAGGTTGTCAAACATTAAAGATTAGACAAATGCGCAGCTCAAAATGTTTCTTTTGGTTCATGATGTATTAAATTATAATCAGAAAAACGACTAACTTGTTCAGAACTGGCTGCTCAAATGTTGGGATTAGTGCCTGAAATAGCAACTTGGGAGACACAAAATAGAGGTAAGGCTGTACTGTTGTGCAATAATTTTACTATAGATATAATGTATTAAAGGAGCAATATTATGTGTTTCTCAGGCATACATTTAAATACTATACCATAATAAAGTATCTACGTCACCTTTAGTTGTTATTAAAATGCTGTTTTTATGTTTAAATAGAAAATAAACTTATCTTCTCATCACTTCCTCTTCTAAACGCCTTGAAATTGGCCTCTGTCTCTTTAAGAACCACCTTCCGCTTCTGTCTCGCCCATTTCAGTGCCGGGGGGGGAGGGGTGCTCCGTGTTGAGGACGCTCGGCTTACAGACACGTCCCAGGGGCGTTTCTGGTACCAAAAGGCGTTTCTGGTACCCACCTGTCGTTTTGCTCCTCAGCATGGCTGCCTAAAAACGCTGCAGGATTTCTGAAACATGCATGAATGAGTCAAAGCAAGGCTTTGGGGCATGTTTTTTATGAGAGTATAACATTATAACAAGATATAAAACTCAAAAAAGTTGATTTTACGTGATATTGCCCCTTTGATTTCTATAGTAGCTCACAATATCAAATATATTGCCAGAGAAAATACAAGTATACAGTGACCATATCAACAGCAGTGGGGCTGAGTGATAAACCTAAAGCCTACATTCAGTCTTGACACTGGCGGATCTATAATTTATTAAATACTGGGTATAAAATGTCCCTGGCCATACATCAAATTTTGCATAAATAGTAATTTGATGTATGTGTTTTTGTTTCAATGGTGGTAAATGCATTTGTTATTGTGGTTTATAACCTTCTTGATGGTGTTATTAAACTGTATACAATTATATATATATTAATTAAAATTTTAAGACCAATATATATGGAATATATATATATTTTAAGATCTATATATTTTGGAATATTTAGTATCCAAGATAGCTGTAGACCACATCAACATATTTATCACTAAACCTGTATTATAATATTAGACCTTGTCTTCATGTATCTGTGATGACTGTTGCACATATATATATAAGTACATACATATATGAGTACACGGCACAGAGATCTCCAAGACCCATTTTCACAGTCATTCAGTTCACACACCAGCACCAAATGCCGCCAAACGATGCTTTGTGTTAGGCTAAGATGGCAGTATCCACAAAAAGGTCCATTTAGGGGTTTAGAGCTTTAATAAATTTATTCAACGAATGAATCGTTGCAGCTTTTTCTTGAGTAATTTTTCTTTCAGCTGCTCCCTTCTACAGGGTTTAACACAGCGAGCAAACTCGCATTCTAAAATCTGGCTATTGTTTTACGTCGGATACAGCTCCTGACCAAGGCTCAAACCCGCAGCCTAAGGATTGCAGGACTGTGGCACTGTCCACCAAGCTACTGCAGCCCTTAGCCCTTTAATGTGCATTGTTCATCCAAACTACACAGAGTGCCCTTACTTACTTTCCTGTTTAAAAAGTTATACAGAAAAAACTGTGTGTTCTGAAACTAAATTGTGACCATCATGCTGCTTTTTAGGCCAGTTTGGCTTTTCTACTTTGACCCTTAAATTTCTAGTATCATGAACAGAAAATCCTCACCTATCATTCCGAGGCACAGACGTCAGTACCTTTCTAAGACTTTTCTATGACACCTTCCACCGAGACAGAGCAGTGAGGCAGCTCCTGCTAACAGCGTTCCAGTACCTGAGAATGAGACCAGTGTCAGGTTGAGATAGAGTCGAGGAGGAGCTCAACCCTGCTCCAATCCCCCTTAGTTACTAGAAATGAGTCAGATACGGTTGTCAGAGCAATGTCAGATGAGATGATCAGATCCCGTTCAGGGTTAACTGAAGCTTAAGCAAAAACGTTAGGGCRATGTTTAGAAGATATGAAATGGGGAGTTTAAAATTCTTCCACACTGATCAGTTTCAGCATTGACCTACAATTATGGGCTTTTTTCCGGAAGACTTAAATCATTAAATTATACATTCAGTGACCCTATTTTTTTTACATCTTCAGCAAGGATCTTTATTTAATAAAATATACATCTAATGCTCGTTTAGTTAAACAAGCACAATGGTCATAAGAAGTAGTCCCTGTGGAAGTGTTTTAGATGTGACAGTCTAATCAAAAAGGACCCACTGGGGCTGAGGATTAGAGAAAAGGAATAATATCTTCTTTAAAAGCTTGTGTAGCGATAGCACATTTTTCTCTGACAGTTCTCGCTCCTTGTGAAATAGCTCTTGGACAAATTAGCTGAGCAGCTTCTCCTGAAGTCGACCGGAAAAGAAAAGAAGAAAAAAAGATGTCGCTGAGGGCATCCGTTTCAATGTAGTGTCAAACCCAGGAGAGTTACGAGGGATTCATATTAAATTGATTTAGTCCAATGAGAGTGTCCTTGAAAGTGCTTCAAGTGGGTTGTATGTATCCCTCAAGCACATAGTCTTCATCTGAGCCCAGACTAGGTGAACAATGGCTCAGTGTGACATTTGTTCTTAAAAGTTCTCCACTCAAACCCCAGAGAGGTGGGAAAGCTTTGCCTTTCACATATTTGTCCATTATGTAGCTCAGAGTACAGTTTCATAGTGCATTAAATGATTTCATACCAAGATTTAAATGTCACCCTTGGATTGATTTCCGCCTTGTTTTCTGTGTTTATTTTCCCTCCTCTCTGCACCGTGTGTTTTTTTTTTTCCTCACTCCACCAAGAGATTCACCCACATCTGTGGGGATTGTATTTCGATCACAGCTCTATTTCCAAAGTTGGAAACCTCGAGCCAAAGCATGAAAACAGGGGTCGAGAAAGTAAGGGAGGAGGGAAGGAAAGAAAGAAGGAAACAAGGAAAGAAAGAAAATTAAATTTTGAACATTCATGTGGGGCTGTGTGTCTGTTCTATGAGCTCCTCTGCTATTCACTTTGAGAATATTYAGCGCATATAAAGAATCACTCTGGTGGTGGTGAAATACGAGGAAGGTGGTGGGAGGGATGGGGGGTTGCCTCTCACGTCCAAGCGGCTGCTGTCTCTGCAGGCTATATTTAATTGGACCCTCATTCGGTATCTTCCAGGTCCGTCCTCCTTTTGATCACGGAGAGGGCCTTGGCAACTCTACGCATGCTTGAAAGCCAGTGGGAGSCATGTTCACGCACTTGTGCTTTACTTGAATCCATCAGCGGATACAGATACTGGTCTTCGAATCTACACATGCAAAGCTGCTATCCACTGCTGTTTCTCCCGACAAGCCAATCTGAAGTCCTCCATTGAGATGCAAGTGCCACGATGCATTAAGAGGAGGCCAGACGAAACAAAATACCATGACTAAGGATGCAGAGGGAGACTRCTACGGTAGCTGACGCAATCACAAACCAAGAGTTATAAAGAAGCTCGAAGGTTATCTGCAGCCCACACGGAGCTCAACCACCCCAATTAATTCTAATTACTGCCACGCTTTTCAGACAAATTAAAGTTAATAGAATCTGAAACTTTAGCCATCATGAGAAAATTGTCTTTAGGTATTGGCAGTAATTCCAGGCTTAACAAGGAAATCATTAGTGGGGTTATTTGGCTACTTCCTCTCATCAGCCCACACAAGCCCAATGAGTGTCCTCCAACCCAGGAGGCTTTTGACACACTTGATCAGAGCTCTCCACGCAGGAAGGCTGTTTGAACAGGAGCGGGCAGGTGTGGTTAAACCCCGTGGACCMCAGTCAACAAACTTTGACCTGTGCTGAAAGCTGAAAAAATGAAAATTACTTTGTGTAACTTCTGYATATGTATAAATCCAATGATGGCTTACTGAATTAAAGAAAATTATAATAATAAATACAATATTTATTTTTAAAAGGGTGAAAAGATTTAGGTGGATACATTGCAGAAGTCTCCTATAGATCAACAATTAAAGATGGACATCATCCATTGTGCACTGCTGTTTTGAAACAATAAGATAAGTTTAGTTGTCACTACAGATGCACTAGATGCAGTATTTTAGGAGGATTTTATTTTCCTGATTTTTTTAACTATTCTATAGACCTATATTAGAGAGAACACATTTTTTCTCATTTCTGGTTTATTTGAAAATTTGTCAGGTGTCAGGGCCTTCTCTCTCTCTGCCACTGAATAAAATGGTGATCTGTTCCTACACAGAGGTGTTTGTACAAATAAAATCCAGCTAAAAAGAAATAGCGGTTCATCTTTTTATATGAACCAGAATATACGTCCTTAACCTCTTAATCTTTTCTGCACAATTCAACACATAAAAGTACACCAGAAGAAAAAGAATTTAATAGCAGGTTTTGAGAGTAAAATAARATTTTGCAACATTTTTGGGTAAAAAAAAAAGGGGGGGGGGGGTAAAATGAAAAGATCTTCAATTATTGTTGGAGATTTTAAATTGTTAAGTAACTTAAGTAATTCACACACAGCTTTCCATTAGGATAGGATGCAGCAAACAATTTGTATTCTATACTGAATCCATTCAATTACACAAATTAAATAACATATATTGTGTATTTATTTTGTTTTCATTGAAGCTGCAAAGCTGAAACTGGTGACTAAACTAAGCATTGTATTGAAACCGAACACATTTTTGTGACCAAATAAAAGAAGCAGCATTATAAAGAAAAAAAAAAAAACACAACTTCTGCATTACCATCAACATATTTGCAACCACCTCCACAAATGATCCACGCTTTCTTTTAACAGCCTYTTAAGTCTCTTGTGGTTTTTACTTATTACCTTAGGGACTAGAATCATTCATTTGCACGAGGTTGTAAAATTGCTGTAGTAAAGTTGTCATTTTTACGTGTGATCTATGGAAATTAATTTGGGTTTTTTTTTTCAGCTGTGTTCTTATGCAAACAAACTCACTTTTTATTTTATTTTTTTKAGCTCATGTATTGAACTGGTAAAACTTGAAAGGACATTCATATAAAAACAAAACACCCCTGCGTTCTTTTAATTTGTCTTCAAACTATACATCTAACAAGCCTTTCGGACACGTCATGTATTTTCTTTAATAGATAGGTTCACTGACGCAAAAGTCTTGAAGTCATCTGAAGTGTCTGGAGAGAGGGATCACTGCTGCCACGTCACAGGAACATGAGCATGCACACCCACACACTCGCACACACATTATTCACCCTTTCATGAGGAAATAATCCTAATTGCTTCTCAGCCATCTGAATTGGCTTGTGTCGGCCCTTTGCATGCCTGATGGAGAGATGTGAGCCATTTGGGTTGCGGAGCCGCAAGCCACACGATGTCAACCAAACCTTTTCTGTCTTCTAGTGAAGAAGAGAGGTGCGCTCAGGTTGATCGTGCACTGATGTGGTGCAAGTGAGGCCCTCAGTTCCCACTGAGGCCACTTGAACAGAACGTATACTCAGTGTAAAGTATGGTGCTCTTGGTTAAAGCGTGTGACAGACACAGAGGAAGTTTGTGCAAGCTGGCTGAATGTCTGAAGCATGGACCAAAAGTGTGCCAAACATTCTGAATGTGCTTCCTTCTCTTCTATTGTTTTAATTATGAACAAACTGTTTTCAGTTTTAGGCAACACGTAAGCAGAGCTTTTGAAACTCGTCTCCACGCTATATAGATAAATTCCTTTGTCGTTTTTAAATGATAAAAAAGCAAAAGAGAAGGAGACCATGTCAGATTGTTGGTTCTGCAGCCAAAGCAACCRTTTTTTAGCATTTGAATCAGACCGTCATCAAATATATGAGGTGGTGGCGGCAGMAAAAAGCAGTGAGTATTGCTCAAGAATGGGGCAACCAAACCAAGCAGAGACCTGCGTTGAGGGGCGAAGAGACGGAGGAAGAGGAGGAGGAAGAAGCGGCAGCGACAGCAGCAGGAGTGGAGCCATGAGTAGAGGTTGATCCAGCCGCAAATGGAAAGCTTTTTTTTTTTTTACACAGACATATATAGACACATAAGAAACAAAGACAAACAGATGCAAACTTAAAGCTACACTAAAGAATATCACCTGCAAACACGTGGTTCTGTGTATAATCAAGTTCTAAAATCTTTACAATGACATATTATTTAATGACAAATTATTTACAGTCATTATCCTTGAAAATATTCTCAAGATTATAGTATTAGTATTAACTATACCAACAATGAAAAAAACTTTTTAAAAAAGTACTTTGATTCCATACAAAGCTGAATACTTTTTAACAGCTCAGGTTTTTTCTACAGTAGAAGCAAAGTGATAGCCTGTTAAAATATGCACAGAGTTATGAATCATGAAAAGCGAGGCCCCGGGAAAAAAAAAAGAGCTCTCTCTCGTAAGGTCATTTGCTGCTCAGACTCATCTGGGCTCTAATTGAATTAAGAAGGCCTCGAGGGGCCCCAGGCTAACCTGAGTGCTAATCTGTGGGCCATTATTTCCTGTTAACAGCATACTCTCCCTCTCTCCCCACTCCCAACCCAGCTCCCACCCTGTCTGCCAGCCCAAAGCACGTGTGATTTAAAAGTTCACTCATTCCAAACCTGAGCGGCTGTCCCCTGTGGGGTTCGGTGTTAAAAATAGAAGGAGGCTGATTTTTGCTTGTTTGTTTTATCACGCCTGCATTAGGAAGATGATGGCTCCAAGGCTCCATAGAGGGGGGGAAGAGGAAATTTTTCCTGAAAGAGGTTTAATGATGATAGCTGTATCATAGCAATGTGTTTGTCAGTGCTTTCTAAAGGGAATTTATTTACTTGGCACTTTTGGGGTTTAGGCTGTTTTAATTAACTTTCTACCTCGACCTGAATATCCGATGAAAACACCAAAATAAATATTTATCAAGGATGTTTGCTGTTATCGCTACACGTGTTCAGCACCATAGTGGGCTTCACTTAATGCCCCTGTGTTGTGTATATGTCTTTTTATTTGGTTTTGTGGCAACTCACCAATGAGCCACAGTGTTAAAACTAGGCTCTGTTGGTTTCCTGGACCGTTTCAAATTTTGGGATCTTTCTGAGATGCAGGGTGGAGCTTAGGGCCCCAGATACTCCATCCAAACTGACAAAATCGGCTTTCATTGTCACAGTTGTGTGACGAAAATTACGTCATGTCGTCCACCAATTCTTTTTTTTTTCTTTTTAATTTCTTCAGTAGAAAAAAGAACTTCATATTAGTTTCTTAATTTCAAATATCATCAGTGATTTTTTTTAAGTAAAGAGAAAATCCAAAAAGAGGGAAAAGCAAAGAGAAAATGTAATTAGAAAGATTAAAATAGAGATTGCTGTATGCTGTATGTACAGTATATATANAGAAGGTAGAAAGCAATGAGGTATATTTAGGTGTATATACCTCATTGGTAGAAAGTCCTTACTCTTGTCTCATTTTAGCAAATATATGTATATATATGGGTATGTGTATATATGTATGCATGCCATCCATTATTTTATCCATTTATTTTTAGGTGAGTGGACAGATGTTGGGTGTGTGGTCCTGTGTTTTCTTGGTTGTGTATTTAATATACTTCTAATCTCTATTTCAACCGTCCACCAATTCTTGTAACAACCTGTCGTGAGACGTGATGTGAGAACTTAATATATCATTGGTCAGAAGTTTGGATGGAGTATAATGGGCTCTTCAGTCGAAGCTCAATTTTTTTTAATCACCATACTGGGTCATTACAGGCTTATCAATGGCTTTTTACATTAACTGTCAAGGAGTTTTCTTTGTATAAATTTCTTTGTTTTATGAAATCTGCTACTTACAATAAATATTACAGCTGAGGAATAAGATGTTGGTTCAAGATGTCTTTTAGGACAATAATTAAAAGTGAACACTGTAGAGYAGTGGTTCCCAAAGTTGGGGTCGTGACCCAAAGTCGGGTCCTGAAACATAAAGGTGGGGTCCTGAAATGATTTTTTGAATTAATTACACTAAAAAATGAGAACTAACAAACTTTTTATGCCTTTGTTGTTACAAAAGAGTAATGTCAGTGTATTTACATTGGACAAAAATAGCTTAATGAATATTGTTACTATGTCTTTGTTTATCTGATGTGAAAACAGTGTTTATTAACCAACAACAGCTGGGGTCTCAGGTCTCTGCTGCTGGTATTTTGTGGGTCAAAAGCTGAAAAGTTTGGGAACCATTGCTGTAGAGCTTTAGCTCAATCCAACAAATACACTGATTACGTGCAACAGAGGAGCTGACAGACCCTTGAAATGTGTTCTTGAATCTTCTCCAGCTGTGTTTTGAAGAAGAAATACTAGAAGAAACATTTAAGCTCTTAATAGGGACATATCAAAAGGCTTGGAGGGCCCTCTCACCTGGTGTCATCCCATTCGGGGCTGAGTCCGGTCAAAGAGCCACGGGACTCTGAAACGAACTTGTAAACGACCAGTAGGCAGTCTCGGCACAACTGGACCAGCCGCCGGCAGCACTGCAGCTCCAGGGGCGACAGCACCTCGCTGCCCTTGCTGAAGACGGTCTCCCACGACGAACTGAAAACCAGTAGTCAATTTCAAGACACGGGGTTACACATATCACCTGAAAGTCACAATGGTGAACTGATGGGGTTTGCATTACGACCACACAAATTAACGTGCAAACCTTTTCACTGGGTGGAAAATTCATTTGCACACAYCCTCAATTGCGCAGACAAAGAGGAAGACACACAGAGGAAGGATAAAACAAATCCAAGTACAGTTAACCCTCTTAACAATCCCAGACATACCCCTGACTGAGAGAGCCTCAACAACTGAGACAGACAACCCCAGGGGGTACTTTTGATGTCTTCCCCTCCTTGGGAGGTGGGACGTGCCTCCTCTGAAAGAGTTCAAAACTGCATGTTTCCATTCTCCTCCTCCTAAGTCCTTTTTTTTTAAAGCCTGTTGAATTCATCGGCCACAAAAGCTGCTGGGCTGTTTGATTGTTGTTAAGTCCCTTAGATAAAATATCAAACAAGAGACAGAGAGGAGTGGGGGGWGAATGGGGGGTCTTCACCCTGGATTTGCAGTGTGCTTTTCAARCTGTAACCGCCTCAACTGCCGCTGCGTGATACGAGGCCCCTGTCGGGTTCATCCATGTTGGGACCATGATCTGTTGCAGGGAGGGGCTAGATGATAGCCTAGCAAGCTAGCGGTTTCATCCAGGGCATGCTGTGATCAGACAAAGGCTAAGCGGGGGTGCGGCCAACTGCGGGCAGCCTGGCTTGACTAATCCTGACAGGCCAATATCCCTTTACCCAATCGTTGCCATTTCTTACAGTATCTCATTTTCAATCACTCTCTACTTTCTCTCTGCGAGACGGTTTGTCGTTTTCTCTCGCCCGGCTCGTCAGTCACTTCATCTCTGTCGCCTGCTCTTCTCCTATGCACTTGCCCTCAATTAGTACTTCAGAAGGAAGTAAGGGAGAAGAATGGAGAGTTGCGGRCGGTGACTCGGGTTACCCCCTCTGAGCCCTCTGTGTCAGGGGGAACATGGCACTGAACAACTGACCTGTAAGGAATATCAGGAGGAGGAGATGTGAGAAGGTCACACCTTTATCGCAGAGGAAATGAAAAGCAACCAGCACCGCAGCTGTCTGCGGATCTGTATTGTACACATGAGGGCCTAGTTGAGAATGCTTGTGTGTAAAATAAACGGCTGGAGAACAGTTTGAGAGAGGCAGAGCTGTGAATTTTTATGTGCTTTAAAAAAAAAGAAAAAAAGGCAGCCGAGTGTACCACTTGTRGGAAACAATATTATTTGGTGTGTTTTGATGTGGCTTCACCAAATGAGATTTAAGTTAAGTGGCTCGGGTTGTGGGAAGTCACTCTGTCGCTTCAAAATGTAGAAGACAAAAAACAAATAAGTAAAAAGATACCACAATAAATTTTTTTAAGAGAATCAAATAACAGCTTGAACTGAAGTGGCCTTCATTCACCTCCTCCTCACTTTCATTCGCCTATCCCCCTCTCGTCTTGCTCTCACCTGTGAATAAGCTCTGATTAACAGCCGCGATTTAAGGAAAAGTGCAACGGGGTCCGCTCAGTCTGTCAGTCACTCTCTGACTGCATTTCTTCTGCAGTCACACTGAATGAAAATGGCACACTGTCCCTGCTGTCACTAAAACTAGTATATTGATGAACAGAGGGCTTGCGGGCATGTAGAAATTGCGTGCTACATGAGCCTCTAGTTACGGAGATGGAAGAGTGATATTACGCAATGAATAAAGGGGTAATTGGCCTGCAGTGTGATCACTTGCTTGTGTTGATTCAACGAAATTAGATTCCATTCATTTTTTGTGACATTCAGAGCAATTTGTTACAGTATGTGTGCCAGTGGGTGTATGTGAGTTTGAGCTTTCTGTTGCACTTGGTTCAGGTCATTAGCAAAAATTACGCTCGTATTAAGAATAGTAGAGTTGTTTTTATTTGAATAAGCTGATAAAATCAGCCTCATTTATTAGCGATAACTAGTAAGCTTTGATTCTCTGCCCATCCGCATTGTGATGCTGCTGTAATGCCAGATGTAAACTTTCTCAAGATTAATCACACCAACTAACCRCTTCTTCAGCTTCCGATGAAATCACTTGTAAATTTTCACTGTCATGAAAACAAGGTTGTAAGCCAGTGTAAGGAATTGTTCAAATTGGAAACCTGAGTAATACGCAGAAAACTGATAAAGTTCTCAGTTAAATGTTTATTTTCAGATCTAAAGAGTCCATTTCACTCCGAGCCTGTCTGTGGCATCAGAGTCTAAACTAAAATGGCCACGAATCACGTGTTCAAACAATGGCTGTGTCTCAATATAGAATCTGCATCCTCATGAGTGCATTTTTGTTGGCAACTTAGTATGTCACTTTCCTGCACCAAAGGCTGTCCAATTCACATCCTCCCTCTCATGAAGACTCTGAATGTGGCCCACAAAATCCTGAAAATGACGGCTTCATCTGACAATCCTTCCAAGCTGAGGATATCCCAGGATTCATTGCACATCAACAAACTAAACAGAAAAACAAAGATGGCAGAGTTTTGTTTTTACCAAGTCAGCGTAGTTTGGAAATTCATCACAGTCTGAAGAATTTGATTTTAAATGTGAATTTAGCAACTTAGCTGATGAAATTTATGCTGCAATAAGATGTTAAATAAAATACAACTACAAATACTGATACTGGAGCTCAAACCAAATTATTTATGTTTTTTTTATTTATTTATGTGTAACGTTCTTAACTGTGAAGTTATTCCTCCAGTGAAAAGACATGTGAGKACATATCCCAATGCATTTTATGTTCAAGGCATGAGATAAAACRTAACACAATGGTAACAGAGTAGCGTGTGGCCATGCAAACAWGCGTAMSTCATGTGAAGGCTAGATTGCCTCATTTCACAGACTTTATGCAGCCTACCTGGACTGTGTAGGCTGTGGCATTCGTGGGCCACAGTCTAGGTAGGCTGCAGACTCTGAATTAAGACACAGCCCTTGTTTATAGAAATCCTGGTCACACCACCTGGGGATGGTCACTTTTATTTGAGCACTGAAATGCCAGAAATGTAAACTATTATATGTTTACCCGGCTGGAGCACAATATATATTAAAAAGAGACTTGTTGATTCTCTAAATTACTACGACTCATCACAAAGTATGAGATATAAGGCTGTGTCTAAAACTCAGTTAACCAACCACAAAATACCTTCAACTAAATCCCTTTCTCTATTTTTCTATGTTATTRTTTGTTTGTTTTTTGTATCTTCTTCGAGTTTCTTTTCGAAATGGTCACTACTGTTGCAAGTGGAAATCCATGCATAACATTGACTTCCACTTATTGACAACAATAARTGGGCAGCAATACAGGTAATGTCTTGCTCAGTCCGTTCTCACCCAGTGTTGGAGAAGCAGTTCCATAAGCCCTGGCCRTGACTCCAGAGAAGTCGATTGAACACACGGTGGAACAGCCGATAGAGATGTAGGCTTTCGACATCTGGGTCCCTCCAGATCCGATGCAGCGCCGAGCGGACATTGGTTCGTACAATATCTAACACCTGAGAGAAAAAAAACGATGATAGTGAGATGAGGGGGAAAAAAGATAAAAACCAAGTATGTGTTAACGAGCAAATTGCAAGTTCCGATGTGGAAAAAGTAATGCCGCTGCTTATTCATATGCAGATTTTGCCATTTGTTCAAAATGTAATTTCTACCTCTTTTTCCTCCCCATAAATTAGTAATCACAACTGTAACCAGGACTACTCACAAACAAAGAGCAAACTTGCATTTATGAATAAATCCAGACCAAAATGCACAATCAAGAATGGAAACAAACAGATTTTTACCAAAGAAAAAGCAAAAATGACTTCATAYGGATCTCTGTCAAACAAGTATTTGAGCAGTTTTGGCTGTACGTTTCTACCAGTCTCCGTGCACAGATTTAAAGCCTACATCTCATTTGTGTGTGTGAGTGTGTGAGGCTGTGCTATAGGCAGGACGGAAACGATCGGGGCAGACAGTGGAGAGCCTCAGAGAGGACTAATTGCTGCACCAATGTCAGTCTTGGAGAGAAGGTGTCAGAAGTTCCCGGGCGGTCTACAGACACCTGCGCCAAACCTTCCATCTTCTCCCTCTTCCTTCTCCCATCCCTCCACACCTCACAGCCTCCTCTTCCTCCCCTTTTTCTTCCTCTTTTCATTCCAGCTCAGAGCAGCTCTGAGACCCTTTTGACTTTGATTCCTCGCTCCTCATTACTGAAGTGCCCATCCGTCTGAGCATCCGCTCGTGCGTGCGTGTGTGTGTGTGTGTGTGTGTGTGTGTGTGTGTGTGTGTGTGTGTGTGTGTGTGTGTGTGTGTTTGCAATGCGAAAAGTGAGATTTCCCTACAGCAACACGAGATGAGCAAGGCATGCACGCACACTCAGACAAACTGATAGATGAGTAAACACACACGGATATGTTTTGGTATGGTAATCAGACGGCAGAGCGGTGGGTGCTACGTTCCTGACCTCTGCCTGCTGCTCATTAGGCTGCTTCACTCCAAATAAACATGTGCTCACACCACCACAGCCCACCGCACAGCTGAGCACAGTGGTGCAGAAAGCAGTGGCTGAGAGATCACATCATTACTGACACGCCTACTGCATGCCATTTCATGTCTTGTCCCCTCTTCTTTGTTTACATCTTTTTTGGTGTTTCTGCCTCTTATGCTCTGACACAGTAATGATCTTCATGCTTGTCATGTTTTTATTTTTTTTGGTGGGGTGGGGGGTCTTTTTTCCCTCTTTTTCTCTCAAGTTAGATTTGGGGATTATTTTTGTGTTTTAAAAGTTGTTCAAAAGCTTTCAAAGAAATAGGTAGGAGTAGTGACATTTTGTCACATTCGCCAATTTTAACAATGTCCATTCTTGTGCAGAATGACAGTATAGAACTTGTGACAGCAAACGGCAGAGGCAAGCCATTTATACAGGCGTCAAAAGATGAATGTGTCCCATCTTTTAACATTTTTAGACCCTACACCAAAAAAAAGGATTATCTCAAAGAATTGTCTCTGACACAAGGTTCAATTTTTTTTGTAYCATCTGCCAATGGTAAAGTTGAAAACATTCTTTGCCAAAATTGCCTTTAATTGACCATACACTGCCATAATGATTTACTAGAGCTATTAGAAAGCACACTTATTTTCAGAACCATACCTGAAGAGACTACAATAGATATTACTAAATGTAAAACTAACCACTTAATTCCTAATTTAATTTATTTGCATCATTACAGCAGCTGCTCTTTTACTCTTTTATTGGCCAAAGGGAGTATAAAGATGGACTGGTACATGCAACCATTTCACTGAATTGTTTTATAAAAGAGTCCAATGTTTGACACTTCATCTCTAAATAACATTAGAACCGTTCTTGGTGTGTGTTTAGACATGTCACAATGCAATAATCTCTGCAAACTTTTATCCCATATAAATAAAACAAACATGCTAAAAACTAAAATGGAAGTTTTGAATAAATGCACAGGCAGAAACTAACATGAGATTTCAAAACAAAGACAAACCAAAATGGAGTTTGAATTCTTCTATAAAACTCACCTTTCGTTGTTTGGTTGTGTCCAACTTCACCAGCCAATAAGATGCAACTTTTGGTTTATGGTATTTCCAGTTGTCGTGGATCTGTGCAATAAACATTGATAATAAAAACAACGTATATAATGATGTTATAAACATATTTAAATCATATTCATAAAGGCAACTAACAGGCCTTTAACACTGGCAAAATATTTACCAGTTTATATTCTGAATATTATTATATATTATAATTGTACCATATTAGAGACACTGGAAAGAAACTTAGAGTGCAAAAAAATCAATGGATCTTTTAATAAAGATTGGTTGTTTCTAATTATTAGACATTCACTGCACTCAATGTGCTATTTCTGTGCAATTAATCATTGTCAAAGAGAATAGTTTAACTTATAAAAGTTTAAAGGCATTAAACTCTCAATAATTTAAGAGAAATTCCTTGGTCTAATCCACACACTCATTCTAGAAGATCTATTATTACATCACATCATTATATGGACTTTGTATTATTGCTGGTTAGTGTCTCGGTTCATTTCATTGTTTTGAGGTTTTCACGTAATAGTCCTTGTTAAAGGACTATTAATTACTTCACTTATAACAGGACGATTACGCACAAAAAGCTGAAATGCTTGCATAATTTTTGTCACTTCAAACTGGGGAATATTGGAAGGTACAAGGTGAGACAATGTTTATCTTGCTGTCACCAAACAAAGTGCTGTTTGTTCGTCCACTGTTTAAAACTAAGCATTTTTGCTTTGTAATTACTTTTAGGTTAATTGTCAAATATAAAACCAACATAAAACCTCTGTCTCTTTCTATTTATTGGTGAATTTAACTGCAAGCATAACTGGTAAAATGGAATCTTAGGAAAGAAATTCTGCGTGAAGGATTTAGGCAAAAAATAATCCTTTGAATATTGTTTGTTATGCTCAAAAGCTGTGCAAGATATGCCCATGCACTGTGCACCTACAGGCACTGTTGCTGCTGTTGTGTTGACTTAGCCTGCCCTTCTCCACAGTTGCACCTGGGTTTACAAACTGGTTCTGATTATGTTAAGTATACTCACAAACCAAAACGCACACAGCTGGATTTCAGTTACTTTAAAATTATTATTATTTTAAATTCCTGTAGGTATTTCCTAACAATACTTACTTGCTGGAGTTTTATTAATTTGCATGATGAGGATATTTTCTGTCTCCAAAAACAAGGATAGTTCCTCTACAGACTGTTTAAATTTAAATTTATATTACAAGTATACTCAACTCAAAAACACTGTAGTTCTGTACAGATTTTGCATTTCAAAAATATCTCATAAGGAGCCTAGAACAAGGCAGGAAATCGTTTCCTGCTGCACATCACTGATCACTCAGTCTTTTTATTTTACCTGCTAAGCTGCATGCTCATTTGTCACATTGTGTTTTACATGTACACAAATTACGGTCAATTAACATGTAACAAAAAAAAGGTACATGAAACATTTCATCTTTCAATGGATCTAAGAGCAACAAAAGGAGGAGATTCTGAGTGGAAGATAAGGGAGGCAATTACTCGGATACAAACACATCATTAGTTCAATTACACCTAGACTTTAAATCATAGCAAAAAATACTAAAGATTGTTTTTGTGCCAAGTGAACACTTCCCTCCTGAGGCGATGAGTCTGCCGTACAGGTGCATCCGCTCAGCTGTGTTTCTATGGTGCTCTCATTAGTGTTTGTTAACAGTACAAGTGTCGTGGTAATTGTCTTTCTCAGCCCTTACACACCCAGGTGTTATGCTCATTCATAAATTGTTCTTAATATTCTGGACACTGTGATTTGCCACAATAAATTATGTTGTGTTAGTTTGCCTCAAACAAAAMCTGAAGGAAAGAATGTGCTGTCCGTCTACCTGCTGTTATCAGAGAGCCTCTGCYGCATCTACCCTTGTCGATTTCAAAAACCGAGGAGCCAAGCAAGAAATACCTTGCACATTAGTTCAAATGTGACACAGAAGAATAATTGACCCAGCTTCTTGTTTATTCCTGTGGGTGTATTTCACATGTATCCTTCTGAGAACAAATTTTACYCATTGAAAGTCCTGATGTTTTTGCCACTTGTCCTTGTGAAGACCAACTGGCTGGTTTCTGCTCATTCTGCACTATGAAAATGCACAAACGGCCCCTTTTGAGGACAGCAGTGGCTCTAACAAAGGGCAGAATAAGTGTAGAAAGGTGCTTGTACAGTACTTTTTTTGTAAATGTATAATCTCTATCATTTAATAAGAGCCTCTGCTTTTTTTATTATTAATTCACATCATTTAGACACTGGCTGTATTGTGTTCACTCCATAACTAGATGCTTGTAGTAAACTTAGAATAACAACACTGCAATCATTAGCTGCATTAAAAGCCACCATCAAAACTGCCAAAATCAGCTTTCATTGTTGAAGTTGCATGAAAATTATTGCTTCCACCCTATCATGATACAACCCACCGAGAGAATTTTTCACCCCCCTTTGCATAAAAACTTAAGAACTGAGAATCAGACTGTTATACCTGGAAGCAGACTTTTATAAATATAGTCAAATCTCCAAAAACTTGTGTAATAAAAGATGACAAAGGAATAAGCCTGCAGAAAACTGTGGAGCTTTAACTGGGATAGATTAGAGGACAAATAATGTCGGGTTTAGGAGGGGTTTTTTTTTTCCCCCAGACTCTATCAAAAAATAAATAAATAAAATAAAAAATAAAAAACCTGCAGTGACGTATACCACAGCAGTATGAGGTTTCCCAATAGCTCGGCAAGGTGTATCTCAGAAGCTATAGGTGTGTGTGTGAAATCGAACGTTGAACAACCATGTGACTGTGCGTCAACTGTTCGGTTTCAGATAATGGGCCCTTAACAGTACTGCATTTACAAATAACATTTGCATACAACTTTTGTCAACAGAAAATAGCTGTATGTGGCCACTTCCTGTTTTGTTTTYATCACAAATGTAAGTAATATTTATGCCAACGGGACACTTACCGTTATTTCATCTGTATTTACATGTTTGTTTCTGTGTTTACAGAAATTGTTCATGTTTAACAGGGCCCAAATGTCCCTGCATTCTCTTGTTGAGAATGAAAGTGAGCATGTCAAACCACAAGGAGACCACATGTGGTAAAAAGTGGAATCCATGTCTTGATTTTTTTTTTTTTTGTTAAACTCTTTCACACTTTAGTCATCCTCCAGCGGTTGTTTTCCTATTTATTACACACCTAGTTATCACAATTAAAAAATGTACAGAAATACACAAACAACAAAAACAAAGGTCAGTAAAAATCCTGTGCCCACCTCATCCAAAACAGCTTCAGCCTCCTCTTCAGTTTTCCCAGGAAACCTGATCCGCATGGCAATAAGGGCAGACAGAGTTTGACGCACCAGCTCAGCCTCCTGCTCTTTACTTCTTAGATTTATCAATGGGTCACCCTTAAAATAAATACAAATAAGCACCAAGTTACAAAACAATGATAATAAAATATGAGGAAGGCTATCTGGCATAAAACAATTGGCAAATATTCCATGCAAGTTCACACACTGTGGCAATCCCTGCAGAAAGGAGCAGCCGGAAGAAAAACATCTAAAATTTCCTTTTATATACAATATTTTTCTGACTTCTTCCAGCATTCGCATTAGCAAATACTATCAAGCCAACAAATGCACTGAATAAATGTCTTCATTTGTTCTGTTTTTAGTGACTGTTGCTTTATTTTATTCATCATCTTACAGTTTGTGTGAGAAAGGTGGATTGCATCAACTCTGTTACATTACAGAAGGGAAACTTCACCAAAGTGAAATGTATATCTGTGGATCTATGTTTGATTACTCTGGCTGGCTTTCTCAAGGACCAGGATGTGTGACACAAAAATCTGAATTTTTGGAACTGAAATTGAATTATGGAGCTGAAAGTGAAAGTAATAAAACTGAATTTTTAATAAACCAAAACACAGTTTCCAAGCAAACCGATTCAAATTCAAAACTTTTAATTCAGTTTCAAATCATTAAATTCAGTTTCAATTTAGTGAAATTCATTTTCAAACCAATGCATTCAATTTCAAATTATGCACATTCAGATTCAATCTGAGCAATTCAAATTCAATTCCTGCTGGCACAAGATTTATCCCATACAGACGGACTAACTTTGAATTTGTCTGGAGCTAAATTGCTGGCTTCGAATATGGTCTATTTCTTAAACCAGCTAAACAACCTCATGCTGAAGACAGATGACAAGAGAGTAATGAGCTAATATCTCAGCAGCCTGAAAGACAGCTACAGCCAACTGACACAAAAATGGAGCACGAACTTCAGCTGAATGACAAGGAGTCTTTTGCAGAACCAGAACCATGACTGGAACCCCACTTAGCACCACAAACAGAAGAACCACAACAGGATTTCATCCAGCCTGCAACAGGAGGACCAGACTTCCCTTCCTCTCCACCAGGAGACCTTAACCTGTCAACTTACAATGAGGATGTAAGGCCTACTTCCAGAAGAAGACCCCGGTCTGAAGTGATACTGGGCAAAAGTAAAAGATAGATGGATGGAGGAGGATATACAAGAGTGGAAAGTGTGTAATATGAGCATACTATAATGAAGAGTATTTTACTGTCTGGGTGAAATAAAAAAAATTGAATTTCTGGGTTTGGGAAATGTTAAGAATATGCTGTTGTGATGCACATCTGTTAGATATTTATAAATAAAGAGCTGTTTACACATTACCTACTTAGTTTTGTATTGACATATTTTTGTTATGTCAAGAGAAGGAGTTGAAAGAATTTTGTGTTTGAATAACTGAATTTCTGATGCAAATTTTACACTTTCTGATCAATTAGTCATTTAATTTAAACAGGAAGAGAATCAGTACGTTTCATATTTAATGCGTCCCTGCTCAACAGGATAAACATGGAAAATTGTAGATATACCAGTGTAGCAGTGCTGACGTAAAAGGTACCGCCCCCAGGGGTCTGACCAGGATGTTTGGGTTATGTTAGGTGCACGTAAGACTCAAGACTTTGTGGAGTCTTTAGCATAGGCAGGGGCAGAAGCAGAAGAAGTCATTTGGTTCTGATCAGACTCAGGTCTGAGCAGAGATGGAGTTTTTTTTAGAGTTGAAGAATAAACCTTTTAACTTAGAATTCACTTGGTTTTCTTCACAATTCAACCTTTTAAACTTAGAATTCACTTGGTTTTCTTCACAATTCAACCTTTTTAACTTAGAATTCAATTGGTTTTCTTCGCAATTATTCTGGCTTTCAATTTTTGATTATGTTTTCTTACACAAACATACATGGGAAAAAAGAATAGAAATAGAGGAAGTAGGTGGAAAGCAACAGATGGTCACAAAATAAAATAATACTGTCTCTCTGGAAATAGACATTGATTCTTAATTATTTTATTAAGCCAGCTAGGAGAAGTGGATCAAAAGAAAATTGGTAAATGCAACATTATGAAAGCATGATTAGTGTAGGCTTAAATGCTTAGCATCCCAATGGACGTACACATAATTTGAATTCTGAAAGAAGTAAAACTCAACTTGTGTTTTAGGAAACCTACTATGTTAGAGTGGATCGTTCCTAGGCTGTTGCTGTGAGGTACCCGGTGGGCGGAGCTACTGCGGCTCAGCGAATGAGAGCGAAGTGTGGCTGAGCTCGGTCTGGTAAGAGGCGTTGCCAAGGGAACTGTAGGAGAAGGCCTGGTGGACAATGCTCGCACCTCACTGGGCGACGAAAGAGAGGCAATAGAGCGAGGGCAAGAAATGGAGCGTCTGATTGGGCCAGAGAGCGTAGGTGACACAGACAGAGCGGTGCTGGGTTTGAGTGACTTCAGTGGAGGTTTCCAGTGCATCCGACCTGTAGAGGAAGACACAACAAAAGAAGGTGTGTTAGAAGATTTTTTTTTTTTTTTTCATTTTTGAGCCAGTGTTCCAATCACACATTCTGCTATGTTTCATGCAGCACCTGGGTTACAGGATGAAGTGTGGCATTAAAACTCCCATAGCTGCACTGCAGCCCCACCGGCCCTGCGGTCAAACACCACAGCATGTGTAGTCAAAACCAGAAAATAAACTGTAATCTGGTTCATGTTTGGTTGAGGGGTAGATTAAAGAGCTGTTCTCGGTCTCAGGCACATTAGACAAACAGATGCAAGGACATGCAAAGTGAAGTAGAAAACACATAGTGACACTCTCTTTCACCCTTGACTCTGTTCCAGCTTGTCTGCAGGCCAATGTATTAGTGTGTGCAACATCAAGCAAGCATTCAATTTTGTGTGTGTGTGTGTGTGTGTGTGTGTGTGTGTGTGTGTGTGTGTGTGTGTGTGTGTGTGTGTGTG